GCAACAAGGGGCTTGTTCATGAGATGCCAACCTCCCCGCAGTTCAAAATCTGCAGAGAATTTGTGATTCCCTCCAGACTTAACTGCAGTCATCCCATGGAACCCACAAAAGGGCTGACCCGGGGCCCCCTGCAGATCCTAGGGATGCTCAAGTCCCTGGTGGTTGGCCCACGAGCTCTGCATCAATGAATCCATTCCCCGGTACTTGGTTATATCCATGACGATAGAACTTCTGGCTGTGGAGAATGACTATTTGTTGAAGAGTCTGCAGTTCAAACCCAGGCTGTTTGAGGCTTGTGTAGATATTTGGGGGTGGTTGGTGAGGGGGTCACAACTAGCGGTGCTCAGGGATGACTCCTGGTGGGGCTCAGGGACCAGAGGTGGTACCAGAGATTGATCCCATGTGCAAGGCAAGTGCCCTGTGCTCTGTACCATTTCTCTGGCCCCGGGTCACCTCAACTTTCAATACTTGAAGCAAACCTGCACTCTAGGAAGATGCAAGATTAGTCCAAGTCACGCAGCTGTGCACTTCAGGGCCCAGCCCTGAGTCCCAGGCCCTGGTACCCTCCTGTCCCTTTGAGCTGAGGTGATGAGGGACATGGGGATGGTGAAGCAGGGGATGAGCTTTCAGAAGTTGACCCCCTACTCCTGGGCGGTGAAGACAGTCCTGGCGAAGCCTCTTGGCATTTCCAACACCAAAGCCCAGTGGCAGAGCTGAGCTTGGAGTGCCTGGTTGGTTCCCACTGATCTTTCTCCTGCAAGCTCTCTCAAGGGCTTGGTCATCTGTGATACAGCTGTGGCCAGAGGTGCGACCTGAGCACCCGTCTCATGCTCAGTACCGCCTGCCCCAGTGTGTCCGTCCTCCTGAGAGGGTCTCCCTGGAGATCACTAGGGTCAACCATGGAAGCCGTCAGCAGGTGTCTTCCACTTCCCCTCAGGCTCCTGAGAGTGTCCTGGGTGACCTGGGGGGCCTGAGTCCCCAGGACAAGTGTCTTTGGAAAAAAAGAGGAGGATGTGCCATCAAGAAGAACCAGCAGGAGGCCATTGGAGAACCAAGTCAGACTGTAGGGGTGCAGCTCTCGGCCCCTCCAAGCTGAAAGAGGTGAGGAAGGTTTGTACCCAAGAGCCTCTGTGGGAACCTTGCAGGCTGAAATCTTGAGTTTAGCCTCCAGAGCCACACGAGCATGCGTGTGAGCTATCTGAAGCCTGCCCCAACCCAGCACACACAGGGACCCGATCCGCGGAGAGTAACTCAGTGCGGGTGAAATCAATAGGAAGCAGCCCAAACCAAGACCACCCAATGGCTCAGTCCGGTGTGTGACCCTCTGGCCTTACAAAAGAGAAAAAGGAAAATCTGTCCCATGGGACAACTTAGACAGACCTTGAGGATGCTAGGTTGAGGAAAAATAAAAAACAAATACTGCAGCAGTCCACACAAAGGAGCCACGGAGAGCATCCAAGTGGTGGGAACCAGAGGAATCTGGACGGACAAGGCGGGACTCTGCTGTTGAATGGTCCTGAGTGTCCAGTTGTGAGATGGAAGGGTCAGGACCAGGAATGGGGCTGCTGTTTGCAGTCGGAATGGATTTCACTGAAGGGTTAGGGCCATACATCTCATTTTGTGAGGATTTTTACCACCGTAAAAATTGGGGTGGTTGGAAGGGCCGGCGAGATAGCTCAAGTGGCAGGGCACGTGTGGAGAAGATGCATAGCCCTGATTTTGATCCTGGCACCTCATGCCTCCCCCACCCTGATCCGAACACCCCTGGATACAGCCCTGCTGACCCCAGAGAACCAAACCTGCACCACCAGCATGCCAGTCCAAAAGATAAGAAATTTTTTTAAAATTTACAAAATGAAAAGTCAGGGGCCAGAGGGATAGTATAACAGGTTCTTGTCCTGCAAGCCGCTGACCTGGGTTCCATCTCTGGCACCCCATGTGCCCCCCAAGTACCACCAGGAGTCATTCCTGAATGTAGAGACAGGAGTAAGCCCCAGGCATTGTTGGGTATCCTCTCCACCAAAAATAAAAGACCCAAAAAGGGGAAGAAAAAAAAAAGTCCTACCGTGCATGATTCTATCAGCAGTTTGCCAGAAGTATCCCCTGCCTGAGCTGGGTAGGCCCCAAACCACCTTCCCCTGCACACCTCAAATCCAGCAAAACAAAAGCAGGGATTAGAGTGTTTACAAATCCACAAAGGCGGTCTCCCCAACAACAGGTTCTGAAAGTAAAAGGCATAGGAGGAGAGTGGAGACCAGTCCTCTTTCTAGGGGTGTCTAAGCCCAGAGCTGCCCCAGAGTGGCAACCATGCAGGAACGTTCCAGGGAGCTGACCCCTCCAACGGTGCAAACCCCACCCATGGCACAAAACTCTCTGATAAAAATACTCATACTCCAAGAGTACTGCACCACATATGATAGGGTTCAAAGTAGGAGGCAACCAATCTTAGAGGGAAATATACATTTTTTTTACACACACATATATATAAAGCACACAAGACTCAACCTTTAATAACATATTAATGATCTCTTATAAAAGGGCTTAATGACCCCTGAGTGAAATATAACAATCTCCACATTCTTTCCTCTAAGGATGCGTTTTGGTAACATTTTCAGTGGTTATTCATAACAACACAAAATATATTATTCCCGTTCTGCTTTGGGGCAGGGATTGGGGTTCGGGCTGGAAACATCTGAAATATGCTGGTGGGAAGGTGTCATGGTGGTGTGATTGGTGTTTGAATATTAAATGTAATCAAATATTGCGAATTACTTTCTGGCAAGCTACCCATGACGTATTCGATATGCCAAAAATAGTAACAACAGGTCTCACAATTTTTTGTGAGACTTTACTGGTGCCCGCTCAAGCAAATCGATGAACAATGGGAGGACAGTGCTTCAGTGCAGTGCTACTTTGTAAAATAAAATTAAAAACAAAACAAAACAACAAAACCCTCTAAAGGCACCGGCCCTGGGTGACACCCACCTGCCTGCCAGCTGCAGTCTGGATCTCTGATCTAACCTGGAGCCGGACCACCTACTCCCACAAGTGCTGCTCAGACATGGTGTGGCAATGGCCAGCCTGCAAAGGCCCCCCCAAGTCCACAGTCAGTATGGGGCGAGGCCCAGGGCTGGGGTCCCTAACACGGCCTCCCCAAGCCCCGGCGAGCAGATGTGCCTCTACAGGGCCCGTGTTTGACTCCAGCTCTGTGGACAGGAAAGGAGCCGCCCCTCCCCCACCGGAGGGGACACAGTTCCCCACTTCGGACACAAGGGGCTCCATGAACGTGCTGTCTCTGCAGCTGCTCCTTCTGTTTTGTGCACCACCCTCAGGGATCCCTAATCTGTCACCATGGCCTTTCTGAGATGGAACGATTCCCATGGTCAGGGGACAATCTGTTTTGTCTAGGGGGTCCCCCTACCCATTGGCTCTGGGTTGTTCCCGCCTGCCAGGAAGATGGGGGCACGTGCCTTTGGAGATATCTGTTCAGCATGCCCCTCCCCCCGACACACACACACATACACAGGTGTGCTCTGTGCCCATGGCGCCCAGTAGTATGCTCTCCCACTCTCGAGAAACCTCAGCCCACCCTCTCCCGCCACCCTAGAACCCTCCACACTCGCAATCCTGCCCAGCCGTCTGTCTCAGGCAGATGCTGACTGTCCTGCCTCTGCGCCTCCACAGATGCTGTTCCTGCTTCCCAGACACCCTCCACTGCTGGAATGCCCCCTACTCCCCGGCTCCTGCGGGCAAGAGGCTCAGAGGCAGGACCCCAAGAGGGGATGCTCCCAGGAACTCTGCTGGAGGCAGAGGGCTGCAAGGCTCACGCTGGCTGTGGCCGGGACAGTCCTAGAGCCCTTCCTGGCCGCTGAAACAAGCCCTCGGTGGATGTTTCACCAGGGCTGAGGTGGGGACAGGCTGCCAGACCCGTCGAGCTCCTTCCGGGACCTGCTCCTGACTCACAGTCCTGGGGACACACGCTCCACCCGGAATCGGGGTGGGGAGATGAAGTGATCTTCACACCCCACAGAGTGAGGAGCACCTGTCCCGAGCTCTGACCCCGCTGTGCCACCAGCCAGAGCCTGGGGCAGGACTGACAGGAAACTGCTGACTGAGCAGGAACCAGGCGCCCAATCCAGCACCCCAGAACCTCCAGTGCAGCTGGGTCCCAGGGGTGGGGGTGGGGCTCACGCAGGATGTGGTTTCCTTGTCCCCCACCAGCCTCCCTTTCTTTTCTTTTTTTGCTTTTTGGGTCACACCCGGCGATGCACAGGGGTTACTCCTGGCTCATGCACTCAGGAATTACTCCTGGCGGTGCTCAGGGGACCATATAGGATGCTGGGAATCGAACCCAGGTCGGCCGCGTGCAAGGTAAACGCCCTACCCGCCAGGCTATCACTCCACCAGCCTCCCTTTTTTTCTTGAACTTCCACTCAGAGCCTGTGTGGAGGCGCGTACACACACACACACACACACACACACACACACACACACACACACACTCATATGCACGCACACACAGACGCATACCTGCATGTACTCACACATGCACAAACATACATACACACACTCACAGACATGCACACATGTACACACATACACACACGCACACATATGCATGCACACACACACACACACACAAATGCACCCTCGAAGAGGTGTGCCTGGGGTAATCACACAGGTCTGCAAGAGCACACCTGTCCACACACCATGTACAGGCATACAGACAGGGGCACACACATGAGTGCTCAGGGTTCTGACACGTTCCTCTCCTGATTTCGAAAACTAAAAACCATCCAACGGAACCCCCTGTGGGATTCCTAACAGCCCGTTACCGTCCTCCTTGTCCTTGAAGTCCCCAGCATTCCCACCCCACGGGAATGTCCAGTGGCAGACAGGACAGCATGGTCACTCTCTAAGAGCCCCGGTTCCCTGGGCGAGAAAGAAGCAAGTGGGCAGAGCCCGTGCCCGGTCTGGCGGCAGCACCAGACCCCACTCACCTCCAGGACCTTCCCGGTGATGAACTGGTGGCAGGCTTCGCACTTCACCCCAAAGAGCACCTGGTAGTCCTTCTCGCAGTATGGGGCGCCGTCCCTGCCGGGAAGTGGGAGGTCAGCCCCGAGACGGCGGGCAGCCCTGACGCATGCACCCCCCGTTTCCCGCAGAACCTGGTGACCTGGCTTGCACCCCCTCCCCGCCCTGATCCCGAACAGCGTGCGCAGACCCAGGAGGTGGCCCGAGTGACAGAAGCCACGTGCCCCCATCAGCCAGATCCAGGGCCATGGTTCTTGGGGGCCTCACAGGAACGACGATTCCTGGTCAGCACACAGTGGCCGCCAGCCCCTCAGCCGTCCTCCCCTCGCTCCCCAGAGCCTGGCACCGTTCTCCTTCACAGCCAGCCCACACGGGCATGGAGTGTGCTGTCACTGTTTACCCACTGTCCCCGACACAGTAACCCCTAGCTGGCAGAGACCCCAGAGACCCGCCCCCTCCTGGCCACCCCCTGATTCTCTGTGGCCACAGTGTCCAGCAATCCACCAGGCCCCTCTGCCCGGCCTGGTGAGCCTCCCGCTCTCCCACCTTCTCCACGGAGGGGCTCGTTAGGGGCAGGGCGTCGGCCGCCCCTTGGCTCACTAGAACCATCACCTCATTTTTCTGAGTAGCTGAGCCAGTTCCCGGCTCGGGGATGGTTTTGAAAGCAGGGAAAGCTGGAGAGGGAGGTTCCCCTCTGCTCATGCCCCTCTCCTTGCCTCCTGGGGAAGCCCCACCGAGCTCTCCAGGCTGAAAGCTCCCCTGGTACCCAGCCCACCCCACGGGCAAGCCAGTGCCAACCCCACCGCCTGGGCCAGGGCAAGCTGCTGTGTGGAGGGGTGCTGGGTCTGCACCCGGAAGTGTGTGTGAGTATTGAGGAGCAGAGGAGGCCTACGGCTGTGTTCAGAAGAGGAGCAAAAGTTGACTGGTTCCAAGAAGGAAGAGAAAGAAAACGAATGAAAGTAAAACTCCTCAACGCTGGGTTGGCCGCCAGGCAGCAGGACAGTAGACAGCTCTGCCCGCTGCTGAGTGGGGCGAGGATGTCCACCTCATGGGCAAGCAGAGCAAAGCTGCCCCCACGTCCCTCTTGTGCAGGGGGTGGGGCCGCTGGACACAGGCTTCTGGCAGAGGCTCTGCCCTGAGTGCCAGCACTGGCACCCTGACCCCCCCAGCACAACCCCACACCAGAAGTGAAGCGCAAAATATAAATGTGGGGGTAGGGCTTTTGCCATGCCCACGGCCGACCTGGGTTTGATTCCCAGCATCCCATATGGTCCCCCGAGCACCGCCAGGAGTAATTCCTGAGTGCAGAGCCAGGAGTATCCCCTGTGCATCGCTGGGTGTGTCCCAAAAAAGCAATATATATATATATATGTATATATATAAATTTATGTATAAATATATATCACTGTCACTGTCCTCCCATTGTTCATTGATTTGCTCAAGCGGGCCCAGTAACGTCATTTTGAGACTTGCTGTTACTGTGTTGGCATATGGAATACGTCACGGGTAGCTTGCCAGGCTTTGCCGTGTGGGCGAGATACTCTCAGTAGCTTGCTGGGCTCTCCGAGAGGGGCGGAGGAATCGAACCCGGGTATAAATTAAATAAAATTTATATATATATATGGGCCTGGGGCAATGCTTAAAGGACTGAGGATATGCTCTGCCTACAGGAGCCTCGGATTCCATCCCTGGCAGCATATATAGTCCCTGAACCACAATGTGGGAGTGAGCAACCCCCCACCCCACTCGAGTCCTACAATCCCCCCTCCAAAAAAAAAGTCAGATCACCAAGTGGCCCCTGAGTGTGGGGGGCAGGGCGTAGGGGTTGCGGGTGGGAGGGTCGACTTACTTGCTGATGTACTCCCCGGAGAGCACCTTCCCGCACGACCTGCATTTAAAGCAGCCCAAGTGCCACTGCCTGTCCAGCGCCAGCAGGGCCTGTCCGTTCTTGATGTCTCGGCCGCAGCCCGCACAGTCTAGGAGAGAGAAGAGACGGCAGCGGTTACCCCGGGGCCACTTGGATGCGCATGCCCGGCCAGCTGTGCTCCCTCCCATCCACGGCTGCATCCTGCCCGTCTCTGCGGATGCCACACCTTGCCCGGCGGGTCCCAGGCCCTGGGCTGCCCAGTGTGGGACCATCACAAGCGCCGGCGGGCCCCAGGGGATGGACGCTCTTCATCTGTGCGTCTTCTAGAGGCGAGGGGGTCAAACACTCTCCGAACTCCAGGGGACCCGGAGACTGTTTAACGACAGTCTGTGATTTTTAAGGATGTTCTCACGGGCCTTTATTAATTAGGGGCACGTGGTGGGGAGCTCAGCCGCGCATACTGAGGCCCCCCCCCCCCCCCGACCCTCCATTCATGGTTTCTGGAACGCTTGCCGACAAGTCATGTTCCTGAGGCAGTTTGCCTTCTTATCAGCCTACACCAGACCTGCCTGGATTCACAACCTTCAGGGAACTTGCTCTTTTATTTTTTAAAAAAATTATTTTATTTATTTATTTATTTTTTGCTTTTGGGGTCACGCCTGGCGATGCACAGGAGTCACTCCTGGTTCATGTACTCAGGAATCACTCCTGGCGGTGCTCGGGGGACCACATGGGATGCTGGGAATCGAACCCGGGTCGGCCGCATGCAAGGCAAATGCCCTACCCGCTGTGCTATTGCTCCAGCCCCGAATTATTTAATTTTCTAAATGGAATCCCCATGAGATAGTTACAAAGCTTTCGTGATTGAGTTTCAGTCATGCAATGTTCCCATACCCATCCTTTCACCAGTGCACATTTCCTACCACCAAGGTCCCCCATATCTCTCCTGTCCCCCCTTCCATTCCTTCCCCCAGACTGCCTCTATGGCAGGAACTTCTCTTTTCTCTCTCTCTCTCTCTCTCTCTCTCTCTCTCTCTCTCTCTCTCTCTCCCTCTCTCTCCCTCTTCCCCCTTTTGGGCATTACGGTTTGCAACACAGATACCGAGAGGCTATCATGTTTAGTCCTTTGCCCTCTTTCAGCACACATCTCCCATTGAGAGCGATCCCTTCCAACCATTGTTGAGTGAACTTGCTCTTGATTCCTTGATTCCGGGGCTGGACTTCTCTCACCGAGGAGGACTTGTACAAAGCAGATAGATTAGGGAGAGAGCCCATCTCCTTTAGAGATGCTGGGTTCTGGTTCCAGTCTCCAGCTCAGCAAGTCCTTGTGGGTGAGTCACTGGGCTGGGCTTCGTTTCCCTTCTAAAGGTTCATTTTCTTGCAGGCAGCAAGGACCCCTTGGGGTCCGTCCCCCACTCCCCATCAGGAGAGCTTCAATGCAATATCGCTGTGGTCAGCACTGAGAAGTGGCTCGACACACACTACACTTGCCATTATTATTCTGATGACTCAATACTTCATCGTTAGAGAAGTTGAGTATTTAAAAGAACTAGAAGAATATAAATTGATGCAAACTATTTTAGGGGGTCTTCTGCAGAGTCTCCTCCCCCCCCCCGCACCTGGTTGTTCTCATCGGGGCCCCTTGGAGGAGGGCGGGTTGAATTTCCCTCTCCATCCCGAGAGAGCCCCAGCAGCTGAAGGCCTCCGGAACCCAGCCACAGCCATGCTGAGACCACTCTCCACACGCTCAGAAGAGCCTCACACATGAAGGAACTGGCAGAGGAACCCAGGTGTGCGGAACCTGGGGCTGAGATCACCAAGCCTGCTCGGTTCGGGACTGGGCCTCCTCCACCCAGATCCCTCATCTTCCAGTAGCTAGAGAGTTACACCCACCAACTGCTGTGTAACCCTATCAATGGCCAGGATCCAGAGACTATAAAACCAAGCTCCCGGCGCAACCGCTTATTCTCTAGTTCTCACTCTCAGAGAACCTGGCAGGCTACTGAGAGTATCCTGCCTACATATATGCCTGATTTGGAACACCTGTAAAGGTGATTAGAGGCTGCCCCAAAAGTCTCCATCCCTCTTGGAGAGCACAGCAAGCTATGGAAAGTAACCTGCCCACACGGCAGAGCCTGGCAAGCTACCAGTGGCGTACTCGATATGCCAAAAACAGTAACAATGATGGTCCTCATTCCCCTGACCCTGAAGAGCAAATTCCCAAGACCCCCAATATGCCATCGAGCTACACTAGCACGTGAAAGAGACGAATGGAGACGTTACTGGTGCCTGCTCGAGCAAATCGATGAACAATGGGGGTGACAGTGATAATGATTTTGGGGGTGGAGGTACACTTGCCAGTGCTTGGGGGTTACTTCTAGTGCTTGGGGGGGTGGGCATCTAGTGCCCGGGATCAAAGTGGAGGCTCTGGCATACAAAGCATGAAGTCCAGCCCCCTGAGCTATCTTCCTGGCCCCTCGTGCAAATTTTAAGTAACGGAGACATCTGCAGACACTGTAAATCCACGTAGGTGAGAAAGAGAACAGTGCTGGGAGGCTGGCCAGGATGTCCCAGTGAGCACACAAAACTCTCCAGGAATATAGCGATAGTGCCTAGCAAGGCCCCTTGGGGGCCTCTTGGAACAAGACCACTGGGCCACTGGGCATTGTTGGGTGGCCCCTAAGCAGTGTTGGAGCTCCCCCCTCCCTCTCTTCCTTTACAAGGAAGCTTCCACCCAACTTCAAGTCCCTTAGAAAGACGTCATCATCCCAGGCGCAGACCACCTCCTACTTCCTGAGACTCACACCCACTTCCTCCCATCACTCTCTGATTGCCCAGGACAAGCCCAAATCCTGGAATAGTTCTTGCAAAGACAGTCACAGCCAGCTCACAGTTCCCCGGGGTTCCTCTTTGTCACGAAGTGCTAAGGAAACCCGGTCTTCCTTCTGATGGCTGGTATGTTTCTCCTCATGTTGGGTCACAGTGTAGACCCAAGATTCCCAGTGGTTTCTGTAGACCGATCTGTAGACCCAAGATTTCCAGTGATTTCATGTCTAAGATTTTATTCTAAAAGTTTGCAAAGGGGAGTGTGGGCGTGTGTCCTGAAATAGGCACAGGCCTTTTCTGCAGTATTTCTACAATTATAAAGGTAAAGGTAAAGGTAAAGGCCCTCCCGTTGATCGTCGATTTGCTCGAGCGGGCCCAGTAACGTCTCCATTGGAGACTTTGTTGTTACTGTATCTGGCATATCCAATACTCTCGGTAGCTTGCCGGGCTCTCCGAGAGGGGCGGAGGAATCGAACTCGGGTCGGCCATGTTGGCCGCGTGTAAGGCAAACGCCCTACCCGCTGTGCAAACTGAAAATAGAGGCCAGGGTATTTGCCTTGCTTGTTGCTGACCTGGGTTCCATCCCTGGCATCCTATAATGGTCCCCTGAATACCCAGGGGAGTAATTTCTGAGTGCAGAACCAGGAATAACCCCTGAGCATTGCTGGTGTGACCCAAAAATTTAAAAAAAAAGACAAAAAACAATAAGCTAAAACAAAGCAAAAAGTAAAACAAAACAAGAAACTGAAAATAGTCCACGTGGACATGAACGGGGGCCTAGTTAAAGAAAGGGCATTTCATAAAGAACTACTAATTGCTGTTAAAAAGGGTGACACAGATTTTTGTCTGACATAAAAGACGATAATAAAGTTCAGAAAACCAAGCCGTGGAACAGCCAGCAGAGCCCAGACTCACTCACAGGAAAATAGCAAAGAAATAAATGCACACGTGTGTGTTGCACACATACTCATATATAAATAGAAAGTTCTTTTTGCTCTGCTTTTGGGGTAAGACTCAGTGCTCCTCAAGGCTTACTCCTGGCTCTGTGCTCAGGGATCACGTCTGGCAGGGTTTGGTGGGGGAAGCCATATGTGATGCTGGGGATCAAACTCAGGTTGGTGATGTGCAGGGCAAGCTCCCTGCCCACTGCGCTACCTCTCTGGCCCCTTCACAGATGCAAAGAAATCTTAGGAACCATCCCTCACCCCCTGTGAAGGCGGGACTTGATATGCTCTGCTACTTGGATGGTTTTTTCCTATAAAACAACTGAGCAAATGCATTTCTATAACGTTAAAAGAGGTCTCATAGAGTATGAATATTGCAGATTATAATCTATGTATGCATTATAAGTCAAGTGGTTTAAAAATCATTTTTTTTTTGTATAGGAGACAGCACCAGTGGCTCTGGGGATTGAGCTCGGAGCCTTTCAACAGGCTCGGCATGCCACTCCAGACAAAAGCTTACTATCATCCAAAAGAGAACATCAAGCCTGAGTTCTCTTCTTCTTTTTTGGGGGGGAGGGGCTTTTGGAGTCACACACCCCCCATGCTCAGGGGTTACTCCTGGCTCTGAACTCAGGAATTATTTCTGGCAGTACTTGGGGGACCATATGGGATGCTGGGGATAGAACCTGGGTAGGTTTCGTGCAAGGCAAATGTCCTCCCCACTATCACTCTGGCCCAAGCCTGAATTCTCTTCTTGACCTCTGCATTTTTTTTTTTTGCTGTTTTTGGGTCACACCCAGCAATGCACAGGGGTTACTCCTGATTCATACACTCGGGAATTACTCCTGGTTCGTGCTCGGGGACCATATGGGATGCTAGGAATCGAACCTGGGTCGGGCTGCATGCAAGGCAAATGCCCTACCCGCTGTGCTATCACTCCAGCCCTGACCTCTGCATTTTTTAAAAAAAAATTTTGATTGGTTTCTGGGCCACACCCAGCAATGTTCAGGAATTACTCTTGTCTCTGTACTCAGGGGGCCATGTATGGTACGAGGGAAAGAACCCAGGATGGTTTCAAGGCAAATGTCCTACCTATTGTGCTATTTCTTTGGCCCCTTGCAGGCTTTTAGAAAGTTGGGATTTACAAGTATCCTAGAATCCCCTCCGCCCCCATCTTATAAAGGGGACCCTATGGCTGTTACTATAGAGATTAAATTACTACAAAGACTAAAAATGATGGCCAAGAATAATAGTACAGCAAGGAAGGCACTTGCCTAGCAGGCAGCTGACTGGGGTTTGATCTCTGGCACTCCACAAGATTCCCTGAGCCCTACCAGGA